CTTGTATGCAAAGGTTCTTGTCCGTCACTTGCTAAGTGCAAAAGGTTCGTCGAGCTGAGCTACGAGTCGAAGTGGGCAGTAATACGGGAAGCAAAGCTGTGCCGTAAGTGTCTTCGCAAACACAACGGCACCTGCAGACAGCAAAGCAAATGTGGAGTTAGAGAATGTACCTACCTGCACCACCCTTTGCTTCACTCCGAGAGAACCGAAGCCTCCAGAAACGGCTCCCGGGTGGAAGCTGCTACGAACACCAGTTGTAACGTTCATCAAGCGCAGACAAACGACGTGCTATTCCGGATTGTTCCAGTTGTGCTCCACGGTCCGTCGAAGATGATTCAGACGTACGCTTTCATCGATGATGGGTCCGAGCTAACCCTCATGGAGCATTCTCTTGCACAGGAGCTTGGGTTACAAGGACCAAACAAAGCACTCTGTTTGAAATGGACAGGTGGTAGCAGAAGAATGGAGAACGAATCTCAAAAGGTAGAGGTGGTCATTTCTTCTGTGAGAAATACATCCCAAAAGTACAAACTGGCGGATGTTCGGACTATACATGAGCTGAAACTCCGGCCACAAACCCTGATAGCTTCGGAAATGCAGAGTCAGTATAGTCATCTCACTGGAATCCCCTTCGATTCCTACACTGAAGTAAGTCCGCGAATCCTGATTGGACTGGATAACGCGCAACTTGGGCATGCGTTCAAGAGTCGCGAAGGAAAACCATCCGAACCGATTGCCGTCAAAACCCGTCTAGGATGGATCGTGTACGGGAGCTGTTCGTCCAATCATCTCGGAAATCATGTAAACTACCACGCTGTACAAGCGTGCGAGTGCAACGAAGGTTCTGACGAAAGTCTCCATGCAGCAATGAAAAACTACTTCACTCTCGATAGCATGGGCATCTCTAAGCCTGACAAGTTACCGCTCTCCGTAGACGACCAGCGTGCTATGGACATTCTGGAAGTGGTGACACTACCCAAGGACGGCCGCTATGAATCAGGCCTTCTTTGGAAGTATGACGCAGTGCGGCTTCCCGATAGTAAAGCTATGGCTCTCAGGAGATGGGAGTGTTTAGAGCGGCGGATGAAGAAGGACGTAGGATTGGCGGAGGCACTACGTGCAAAAATGGCCGAGTACGTCCAGAAAGGGTATGTCCGGAAACTGAGCGGAGATGAACTGAGGCATCGTCAACCGCGTGAGTGGTATCTGCCAGTGTTTCCGGTCTATAATCCCAACAAACCAGGAAAATTGAGGTTGGTTTGGGATGCAGCAGCTACCGTCCAAGGAATCTCCTTGAACTCGGTTTTACTGAAAGGACCCGATCAATTGATGTCTCTACTGTTAGTCTTGATTCAGTTCCGGGAGTTTCGAGTCGCGGTATGCGGGGACCTACGAGAAATGTTCCACCAGGTGTTGATGAGGGAGGAAGACCAGCATTGCCTGCGATTCTACTGGAAGGAAGATGGGGAGGATGGTGCGCCGGATGTGTATGTTATGAAAGTGATGACATTTGGCGCCTGCTGTTCGCCTACGACAGCCCAGTATGTTAAAAATATCAATGCGAAACGATTCGAACACGAGTGCCCGCAAGCCGTCGATGCCATTGTGAGGAAGCATTATGTTGACGACATGCTTGCCAGCGTCGAAACGGAGGAAGAAGCTGTAAAGCTGGCACAGGACGTGAAACGCATCCATGCCGCAGGAGGTTTCGAAATGCGAAATTGGCTGTCCAATTCATCGACCGTACTGGCGTCCCTGCAGGCGGCAGCGACTAACGAAAAGAACCTCAGTGCTGGAGAAGAAGGAAACGTCACCGAAAAGGTGTTAGGCCTTTGGTGGAATACGACTACGGACTGTTTCACTTTCAAGGTGTCTCCAAGGTACGACCAGGACCTGCTGTCCGGGGACCGTCGACCAACTAAACGTGAGGTGCTTCGAACGCTTATGGAGCATTTCCAGCCCAAAACGCAAACCGGTTGGTCATGAGTGTTTCCGATTTGAATGAAACATTTCTCACGTGTTCGCTGCTACTAATGGTTGCATTTCTCATTTAAATATGATTTTTTCCTCCAGAGTAACTTTTGAAAAGGGCGTATAAAAAAATGGATTATTTTTTTTTCAAAAAATCATAACTTGAAAACTATTGATCTGATCAAAATGGCATATGAGAAGAAGTTTTAGGTAGTTAAATTATCTTTGCGGAAAAAAATACACTGAAAGAAAAACTTAGTAAATTAGTATTTAAAAAATGTAAAACGATGATTATCTCAAAACACGCCCCCTTCGATCTTTATAAATTTTTTTTTCAAGAAAACTGAAAAAATGCCCTAATATTTGGTGAAGAGTGTATACTGGTAACTTTCTTAAAAAAAAAATTATGATTTTTGAAATTTTTGTTGGTTTTTACAAGTTGGTGAAATTGCATATTTTTTAGTAAAATAGTAATTTATTTGGATTTTACGCATAATTTTTAAAAACATTGCATATAAAAATATTTTTCCTAAGTCCAGCCGTTCTCAAGTTAATGCAATTTAAAAAAAATAATTTTAATAATTTTCTACATTTTGGGCCATTTTCAAATGTTAGTCGTGATGTCCAGCAACGAAATGTTTTTCCATGAATATATATTAAAAAACAGACAATTTATTCTCAAATATGGTAGTTGTCAGACTTACCCGTTTCTATTTAGACGCAGCGGAAAAGAAACAAGTTTATAAATAAATACTCTCAAATATACCCAAATAATCAACAAACCCACTCATGTGCCTTTTTTCTGTCCTCTATTAGTTGTATACTTGGATAGAATTGTGTATGTCATAACATAGGCTCAAAACATAACCAGGTAAACAAATATGTTATTAAACCTGTAATTGAGATAAATTCTCTAGGTACTTCTCTGACGTATACCATATTGTGCCTTAAGAGCTCATCCCGCGATATCACAACTACATAAAAAGGCACCCCGTGGAGGCTTCTTACACTCACACTTAAAAAAGTTTGCTATAATCAATTGTATCTAATGAAGATAGGTATAATGTCAACATTGTAATTATTCTGCTACATACATATATATATATATATATATATATATATTGGGACGATCTTCACCTGTTCCATTCAGTTCATCTCTCTTAGTGTTTCAAGTTAAAAAGCAAGTAGTTTTTTACGATGGATAACAATTTCAAGTGTTGTAAACCTCCACCTAAATCAATTTCAAAGCATGACACAGTAGCAGTTCAGTTGTTTATCTCAAAATGATTAGAATTTTTAAAGTTGCAAATAACAGTCCAAAAGTGTATTTTTATGTCAGATGGAGCAGCATCACAGTACAAAAACATAAAATTTTTTGCTAGCATTTGTGATAAGCAAGATAAGCATAATGTAGAAATTGAATGGCATTTTTTTGCAACTTCACACGGCAAAGGTCATTGTGATGCGATTGGCGGTACCCTTAAGAGAATGGCAACCAGAGCAAGTTTAGCTAAGCAACACGAGCACCCTATAACGAACCCTTAACAACTGTACGACTGGGCAAATAGTCGTAAAGAAGATCTTCAAACAAAAATGTCATTTTGTTATGTTTCTACGGAAGAATACAAAAAGGCTGACACGGAATTTGATCCAATTTTTAAGAAAGTGAAACCAATTCCTGGAACTCGAAAATATCATTGCTATATTCAGGGTGCCTTCCATTCATTTTGACTAAAAAAATGTTTTAAGAAATTATGGAATAATAAGACATAATGAAAATATTTTGATTATGTAAACAACAAGAAAAGATTGTTAAGTTTGTGTTTGACACATAATACCTGCCAATTTTGCCACATGAGAGTCGCAATAAGCGATTTTGTAATTTATCTCACCCACTCTTCGCTCTTCACTCTTCGCGAAGAGGCGATCAGAAAAACGCTCATTGTGACTCTGTAAAAGCTAAATTTGCTGGTTTGATGTGTGAAACACAAACTTTACAATCTTTTCTTATTACTTACACATACAAAATATCATCATGATATCCTATTATTCTATAATTTCATAAAACATTTTTTTAGTCAAAATGAATGGAAGGCACCCTGGCTATATTCCAGTTTCAAACAACCAAATTGCAGTAAAAATATTCTCTAATTCAAACGATACACCCAAATTATTCAATGTATTCAAATAATATGAGTTGTAAAATAAAATAATAAATATATACTGTTTCTTATCTCAACAAATCTTTCATTTGACCACATCAACGTGCTTCTCTGATAGAAACGGGTAAGTCTGACAGCTACCATATCTGAGAATGAATTGTTTGTTTTTTAATATACAATCATGAAATAAAATCTCGTTGCTGGACATCTCGACGAACATTTGAAAATGGCCTAAAATGTTGAAAATTGTTATAATTATATTTTTTTAATTTGCATTAACTTGAGAACGGCTGGACTTAGGAAAAAAGTTCCTATATGCAAAGTTATCGAAAATTATGCGTAGAATCCAAATAAATTGTTATTTTTCAAAAAAATATGCATTTTCATCAACTTGTAAAAATCAACAAAAATTAAAAAAAATTATAGATTTCTTTTTAAGGAAGTTACCAGCATACATTTTTCACCAAATTCAAGGGTATTCCATCAATTTTCTTGAAAAAAAAAATTATAAAGATCGAAGGGGGGGTGTTTTGAGATAATCATCGTTTTACGTTTTTTAAATACTAATTTACGAATTTTTTTCTTTCAGTGTATTTTTTTCGCAAAGATAATTTAATTACCTAAAACTTCTTCTCATATGCCGTTTTGATCAGATCAATAGTTTTCAAGTTATGATTTTTTGAATAAAAAATAATCAATTTTTTTATACGCCCTTTTCAAAAGTTACTCTGGAGGAAAAAATCATATTTAAATGAAAAATGCAACCATTAGTAGCAGCGAACACGTGAGCAATGTTTCATTCAAATCAGAAGGGGTCGAGACAAAATTGACATTTTTTTTAACGATTTGAGCTAGAAATGCTCTATGATGATGTTCGACCCGCTTGGCTTCATTACGCACTTTCTCATGTACCTGAAAGTACTGCTGCAGGAGATTTGGAGATCCTCGGTTGATTGGGACACCCCCATTGAAGAACCACAGTTCCAGAAGTGGCTGACATGGTTGAAGGTTCTGCCGGAGGTAACCAACGTCCAGATTCCACGGTGTTATAGAGCGTCTGTGTCACTAGGAAGCAACTGCAAAGTTCAAATGCACACGTTCGTTGACGCAAGTGAGAACGGCTTCGCAGCGGTAGTGTATCTCAGGTTTGAAGAAGGAGACGCAATTGAAACCGCGTTCGTGAGTGCAAAAACGAGAGTTGCCCCGTTGAAATTCCTTTCCATACCCCGCTCCGAGCTTCAAGCCAGTGTCCTCGGAGTTCGCTTAGCGAAAAGCGTCGCCCAGTCACTATCCGTTAGGGTGTCAGAACGCTTTTTCTGGACAGACTCCAGAGACGTTCTATGCTGGCTGAACTCTGATCACAGAAGATACAGCCAGTTCGTAGCATTTCGGGTGAGCGAGATACTGGAAACGACTGATGTGAAGGAGTGGCGATGGGTTCCCACGAAGCTGAACGTGGCCGACGAAGGAACCAAATGGACCCGCCATCCTGATCTCACCGCCTCCAGCCGCTGGTTTCAAGGACCGGAATTCCTGAGGCAGTCTAAAGCAGAATGGCCGTCTGGCCTGCGATGTGGAATGACGGATGTGGAACTGCGTGCGCACTTATTAACGCACGTCTCCACGGCCGAATCAATTGTTGAAGCACAAAACTTCTCCAAGTGGACAACGATACTACGGAGTACAGCGTACGTGTTCCGGTACATATGCAACTCAAAGCAGATGGTCAAGACGAAACAGCGAACCGGTGGACCGTTGACGCAACAGGAATTATACAGGGCCGATAACTTTCTCTATCGCCTTGCCCAGAGTTGCGAATACGTCGACGAGCTTGCGATCCTCGTCAGTAATCGCCGAATTGGATCGGAGAAGAAGTCGATTCCAAAGTGCAGCTCTATTGCCTACTTCCGTCCGTTTCTCGATGAATACGACGTGCTGAGAGTCCGTGGCCGTACCGCTGCCTGCCCGTTGATCGACTACGATGCAGTCAACCCTGTCATTCTTCCTCGTAACCACCATGTCACACGGCTGATAGTCTCTCACTACCACAGCAAATATCACCACCAAAACCACAACACAGTCCTCAACGAGATTCGCCAGCGATACAGGATTCCTCACCTCAAGTCCGTATACTACACGATCCGGAAGCAATGCCAAAAATGCATGAACGAAAGGGCAACTCCACAACCGCCGACCATGAGTGATCTGCCGCCATCACGTCTGGCTGCGTACTCTCGTCCGTTCACGCATATGGGGGTGGATTATTTCGGGCCGATCATGGTATCCGCCAACCGTAAAACAGAGAAACGCTGGGTGTTGATAGCTACCTGCCTGACCATCCGCGCCATACACCTGCAAATTGCACACACTCTAAATACCGATTCCTGCATCATGGCTCTACGCAACGTCATAGGTAGGAGGGGTACACCGACGGTCATCTATAGTGACCAAGGAACTAACTTTCGAGGCGCTAGTAAGGAGCTGAAGGCCGCTATGGAGAGTTTGGATCAGGAACGCTTGATGATCGAGTTCACGACTCCTCACACCAGCTGGAGTTTCAATCCACCAGCCTCCCCGCACATGGGTGGAGCGTGGGAACGTCTTATCCGTACAGTCAAACAGAACCTCGGGAAGATCCTGCCAGCCAGCACGCTATCGTACGAAGTCCTTGAAAACCTGCTCATAGAAGTCGAAAACGTGGTTAACTCACGACCGCTGACCAGCATTCCATTGGAAGACGACGAATCCCCGGTGCTCACACCGAACCACTTCTTGCTGGGATCGTCGAACGGTTTGAAGCCGTGGCTACCTTTCGACGACAGTCCTGCGGTACTCAGGAACTGTTGGCAACGCTCTCAGACCTTGGCCAACCAGTTCTGAAGACAATGGGTTCGAGATTATCTGCCGTCGATCACTCGCCGAACCAAATGGTTTGGCCCAGTGAAACCCATCGAAACCGACGACATCGTCGTCATCGTGGACCCGAACTTTCAGCGAAACTGCTGGTTAAAGGGACGCGTAATAGCAACGAAGCCAGGAGCCGACGGCCAAGTGAGGTGCGCAACCGTCCGGACCATTAGTGGTATCTATGAGCGTCCAGCCGTGAAGCTCGCCGTGCTAGACGTAGGCGTCTGCAAGGATACGCCTCAGGACGACCATCGGCGCATTCCGGGAGGGAGTGTTAATCCCGCCACGTCCAATGGCCCGACGAGCCCCAGCAGCCCCACCGCTACCACTGTGACGGACGCATACACCTCAACGCGACCACACCCGTGTGTTGGTCAGAGGATCGTCGATCGTATGAAAGTCAAGCGGTCGACGGGTAAAATATGTAAACAAGCCAGAACAATAGCTGAATCGAGGAAGTAAAAAGTAAAATTAATTCTACTCGCAAGTGGTGTTACCTTAATCTACCTAATTTATACTGTTAAACTTAAATACTATCACTATCTAACGTGTCGATTGAACTAGACTACAGTATCTTGATTAACTTATAATACTTTGAACTTATCTAAGGTGAGAACTAGCTGGAAAATTAGTGAACTTATAACTAAACATATCTATATATACATCTAATAGCTACCTACCGCTGAAGAAAACCTTAACTTATAACCATAATATCTTGCTCTATGCAAACTAATTACTGCGGAACGAATCACCAAAAGTAAGTGTAATGCAATATTTATATTTGTGCACGAAACATAACATTGTCCAATGTTCTCAGGAATTTGTAATTTTTTCCATTTCGATCAATCTGCCGGAATAAAATTCACGGATTCAAAAGATTCGTTTTTACCGCCCAACAAACTCTTTACTGGTTTTTTAAATGGTTTCGTTTGCTCCGAAGATGTCAATGAATCCATTATCGCTATAAAAACGGCTTATAATGATATATTAGCACAATGCACCAAGTCGATAACTGAACGAGTGAATGTTAAAACTAAACATTGTCCTTGGCTTAACTATCATACGTGGCAATGGATAAAACTTAAAAACAAATATTTGAAAAAAGTAAAGAAAAATCCTTATAATGATCATCTGAAAGAAATGTTGAAACATATAACTAAAAAGACTGATATTGCTAAAAAAAGATGTAAAAATGATTATTTCATTAAATTATTTGAGGACACAAGTAGTGCCAAGGTTTGGAAAAACTTAGATAGAATATTGGGAAGGAAAAAACATGCTCCAAATATTGAACTTCAATATGATGGACATAAAACATCAAGTTGTTCAGAAATTTGTGAAATGTTTAACCAATTCTTCTCAAACATTGGAGCTAATCTTGCTAGTAGTATTCGAAAAAATAACTTAAATCCTTTGAGTACTGTAAGTCACCTAGAGCATACTATTTTTCTCAAACCTACTGATGTAATTGAGGTTTCTTCCTTGATTAATAATCTAAATACTAAAAAAAGCTGTGGCCCTGATAAACTTCCAGCAAGTATCATCAAACATAACCTCAATGAGTTTGCAAAAATTTTTACTCGACTTTTCAATTGTATACTGAGACAAGGGAAGTATCCAGATTGTCTCAAAGTAGCAAGAGTGGTGCCAATTTTTAAAGCCGGCGATGTGTCTGATCCTTGTAATTATCGTCCTATTTCCACACTGTCTGTAATAAATAAACTTTTCGAAAAATTGCTAGTAAATAGACTTGTCAATTTCTTGAACAAATTTAATGTTTTGTATAAATTTCAATACGGGTTTCGGAAAGGATGTAGTACTTCAACAGCAATAGTCGAGCTAGTTGATTTTTTACTGAATAAAATTGATAATAAATGTATCGTAGGAGGCCTCTTTATTGACCTAAAAAAAGCATTTGATACCCTGAATCACAATATTTTACTGAAAAAATTAGAAAGCTATGGGATACGTGGATTGGCTAATGACATTATACGTAGTTATTTGACTGATAGGAAACAGTTTGTGGCATATAAAGAAGCACAGAGCTCTCTCCGATCAGTAAATATAGGGGTTCCACAAGGTAGTAATATCGGGCCTCTCTTATTTCTTATCTATATTAACGATATAGGAAATTTACCTCTTAAGGGAATAGCTAAATTATTTGCTGACGATACAGCACTTTTTTACCCAAATCAGGATACTGCATCTATCGTTTCCTGCATAAACGATGATTTACAGGTACTCATGAGATACTTTGATACTAACTTACTTTCGTTAAACTTATCAAAGACTAAATATATGGTGTTCCACTCACCGAGGAAAAAAATTTCTCAACACAACAGTCCGTCAATTGGGTCTAACGTAATAGAGAAAGTATCAAGTTTTAAATATTTAGGCTTGGTATTAGATCCTACGCTCTCTTGGGGGGATCATACAGAACATGTACAACGCAAAGTATCATCTCTATGTGGCCTAATGTATCGTGTTAGTAAATTTGTGCCTAGGAACGCACTTCTAACTTTTTATCATGGCTGTATTCATTCTCATCTTCAGTACTTAATCATCGTTTGGGGACATGCTTGCAAGGCTAAACTAAGTATTGCAAAATAGGTGCATAAAAATCATCTATCACCTTCCACAATTGTTTTCCACTCTTCAACTCTACGCAAATAATTCGCACAGTATTCTCCCGTTACGCGGTTTGTGCAAGTTACAGTCTTGTTTGTTTATATATGATTCGCTAAAAAATCCCAACATGCATCGTAACCTCATTTTACCGATCACAAATCATGATCATAACACTCGGTATGCGAATAACCTAATACGCTCGAGAGCATTCACATGCCTCGGTCAAATACGAATTTCCTTTTATGGTCCATCTCTGTACAATGCACTTTCGGAATGTTTGAAAAAATTAAACAACCGACAATTTTTCAAAACCAGTTTAAAGCGATACTACAAATCCAAAATCAACGAGTTCTTGATATAAATTCGTGTTCAACTATCGATTTATAATTATAAAATTTACACTCTTTACGCTAAGCTTAAGATATTAAATTGTATATATTAATTAATTGAATTGTTTAAGAGTTAGGATCCCTTCAAAGGAACTTTGTTCCACTGGGTACATCCTAACCTTGTTAATGATTGTTATTTTGCATCACACACCTTTAAAATTAGTAATGTTATATTTATATGTCTATATGTTTTCTTTTGTAACGTTAAAAAAAATATTATCGAGGAGTCCACTACCAGGGGGCTCTCAGTGTGAGCTCTTTGGTGTGGGGGTGTGTTGGCGGGCCTCATAAAAAAAAAAAAAAAAAAAAAAGTGTTCGGCTTCCTATGTCTCAAGGCAAAAATTTATGCTCACAACACTCTTTTTGACGTTCTCCTATTCACCACCAGAGGTTGAATCGATCGTTTAGTTTCTATTTAAAAGGCCTATTGTTCATTGATTTTTTTTTAAATTTGTATGGGCCGTGGATAATTGTCACCCCCCTAAACTGTCTTCGTAGTTTATGAACAGCCCCTAAGCAAACAATTTCACTACTGAAGTAAACTGCCGTTCTACGCATATCAGTCTCATGTTCTACAAGTAGCATCTGATAAAATCGCGAATAATGTTTCGAATCATTTCTGCTCATTGGAAGAAATATACGTTAAAATTTGCAGAGTTTTGCTATTTCAAGAATTAATCATTGATGCTTATTTTTATAACTCTTGTATGCTCAAACAACCTCGATTATTTAGCAAATTGATTCTTTACTTAAATTGTGGATTCATTAAATTGGCAAAGTTGAGTTCAATCATACCATGCAATTAAAATATTCATAGTGTGTGTAAAGAATTTCGAAGAAAATCGAGGTTTTCTGTATTTTCCAGTGGCGTTTCCTTAACCTCGATCAACCTGTGCACCAACTCTCAAAACATAAATAATAATGCAATAGATAGATATATCGAGTAAACTAGAAGATTGAGTGTATTTTCAACCGATTCGAATACGAATATGGCATTAAATCTGGTTTTGAAAGTTGGTGCACAGGTAAGTAGTTAGGTTACGGGACGCCACTGGTATTTTGTTATGTTTTCTGTGTTTTAAGGAAATACCTGCATACATACATACATTTTGCATTTCACTACATATATTATATAAATTATACATTGCATGATATACTATTACCTTTAGCTTAATATTTCAGTTTACCCAAGCAAGTCATCGAAATTAATATGAAGCTGATGAAGCAGAAACATTAAATAATATTATATGTTTATAATTATTAAGCAGGTGCTCTCGTCATGTTAGTTATTCATCACAATTTTTAGCATTATTTCAGTGTTGCATCCACCTGTTGTGAGCTGAGGAGGTGTAGAGCTGCATCTTATTATATGTAAAATACTTCTTCATTGCAGTAGCAACTATATTATCCATATAAATGTATTTCATTATGTCATATTTTAATGTTCTGATATATTTCATTTCTCCATTGCATATATTTTCATTATATAAATAAATACTGGGTTGGGAGGGAGCATCAGGGTATCATTCAAACTGAAGCTGGACGATGGTATGATTGACAGCCGAAGTCTAGGAGGGAATAAACACTATCATTTTCTTTATCCTACCGATTCGATTATGGTGGTGTGAATTCTACTCCAACAGTTTCAGGGCGATTGACGCGCCCTTCTTAACAAACCATCCAGTAGGAAGCTTAATAAGTATTGCGAATTGTGTTATTCGATTTGTTGGAGCGTATCGTTGGAAGGAGATTCTTAAATTCCCGTGGATTTCGCGTAAGTGTCTCTGCTTACGGGTCCACCCCTCCGTTTTTGGCCCTTCATACAGCGATATAGTGAATTCAGATCGGTAGCTCAAATTGATCTTGCTATTAAGTGGAGCTGCATACAAGACAAGTCTTGAAAGGATGGTGGCTACCTTACATACATACATACATACATTGGAAGAAATATACGTT